TCCTTCTTAAGAGATGACAGCCTGGACAGAAGAAGAATGTAGAAACTTTGAACATGCACTTCTGATTTATGGGAAAGATTTTCATCTCATACAAAAAAATAAGGTATGTTGATATACAAATAAATGAAGCAAATGGTGCTTGTGTTTTTAAAATCGGAGATGTATAGACAGCATATTGTTACTGACCCATTACTGTTAACGGAGGGACCAATTCATTCATATGCTTATCCCAGCAGCTGGCTGGAAGATGTCTCAGTGGTGCACAAAGTCAACTTAGTGCCACTACCCTTTTTGTTCCCCAGATAGTATCTGCCAATCTGGAAACAGTAGAAAGCAGGCCACATGGAGCAATAAGACAGTCTCTTCATCCAAATGGGAAGGAGGCTTGTCTACCAAGCTCAGAGTTGTGTTTACAGACATGTTCCTTTTTCTAAATCTATTCCTGCCATTTCTCCATCCCAAGACCCAGGAGAGCAAGGTTTTCAGAAAGTGTGTCATAACTTTTTCCTTTATCCAAGATTCCAGGTGCTTTCAGTGGTTTTTAATAAGAAACCTTTGTGACAGGGAAGGGGAACCAGTGGCTCTCCATATGTTGGTGAACTTTAACTCCCATCATTTCTGGCAATTGACTATCCTATCAGAGGGTAATGGGAGTTAAAGTTCAGCAAGATCTGGAGGGCCACAAGTGATATCCTTCTCTGAAGAAGGCATGGCCGGAAAACTATATATGACTTGATTTCTTTGATTAGAAAAGCTCTTATGGAACTAGAGCAGAATCTGGATGATTCAGACCTCTAGTTGCAGGGGCGTACTTTCTTGTTTTTGTAGCAATGAACCAGCCTATGAATTCTGCACCCAGTCAAAATGAGCCAGAATTTGGCATCCTTATCCTCCCTGTTCCCTCTCAGCATGCTAATAGCCAACCACAAGTTTTTTGTATTATGTAGTAAGTATCTTCTTAGTACATTCTACAAGCAAGTCTCCCCAATTAAAGAATCCTTAGAATATTGTTGGCTTTCACAATGTGAATTTGGGCACGATTCTATGATTCAACACTATGAGTCCCTCAGGATTATATTAATTTATTGGGGGAGTCAGGTCCTTCTTTGCCAGCTCTTTCAGAAGGAAGTCAGCATTTCCATGTACAGATTTATGATGGATATCAATATCAAGACTTGAATGTGCCAATTTTTTTTAGGTGAGAACAAGAACAGTTGCTGAATGTGTAGCATTTTACTACATGTGGAAGAAATCTGAACGATACGATTACTTTGCACAGCAAACTAGATTTGGAAAAAAGAGATACAACCACCATCCTGGAGTCACGTAAGTTCAAAGACCTTGAAAGGCTTTATTTTTGTGTTTTGTGATTTTCTCCTCTAGAACATCACATCCACGTTATAAAATTGCATTGATGCTGTTCGGAAGATGCATATCCTCTGATTATAGTCAGTTAAATTACTTGCCTTATGTTGATCATTGTCGTTCCAGGGACTATATGGACCGGTTGGTAGATGAAGCAGAAGCTCTTGGTGGAGCTGTACATTCTTCAGCCATAACGTCAAACAGCAGATCGGAGCCCACGCCTGACCAACAGCTAAGCATTTTGAGCTCTATCACTGCCAATGATTTGACAGGTAAATTAATGGGTGCACGGATGATGTCTTGGAATAGCTTGCTGCTGCTGTATGTCAGGATAACGGTGACATTTTGGCTAATATTGCTTTTCTTTCTTCTAGCACTGACCAACAGTGTAGCCACAGTCTGCCACTCTACAGATGTGAACTGCTTAGATGATGCCTTCCCACCTCTGGACAGCTTGCCTCGGACAGCAGTTAATCATGTGCCTGTTGTAACAGAAGATTTGCTTAACTTGCCTAGTAATGGTGAAAGTGATTGTTTTAATTTATTTGAGACTGGATTTTATCACTCCGAGTTAAACCCAATGAACATGTGCAACGAGGAGTCTGAAAGGCCTGCCAAGAGACTAAAAATGGGAATTGCAGTCCCAGAATCGTATATGAATGATGTTTCTGTGAATAACTTGGGTGTTGATTTTGAGAATCACACGCATCACATTACCAGTGCCAAAATGGCAGTCTCAGTGGCTGACTTTAGCAGTCTATCTGCAAACGAGACAAATGGCTTTATTAGTGCTCATGCATTACACCAGCACACTGCCCTCCACTCAGAATGAATTTTATCAGCAAACTGAAGAGACAGTGGACACTGTTGGTGGTTTATGGTAAACTTGATGGGAATGATCAGGTTTGCTTAGTCTTTCACTGGAAGTTTGAACTATGTGACATCAGTGATGTCTTTATGTACAGAACTATATCTTGATTTATCAAGAGTATTTTCACTTTTTCCCAATCCATAAATGTGGAAACTTCATACGACTTTTAGCAGAGTTTGGGGACTAAGAGAACTCTGTGGTGCAGCTTTAAGCTCTGCTTCCTCTTTCTTTTTTAAACCTGTAAACAGAGACTGATGTCTCAAAACCAGCACAGAAATTCTGAACTGATTGGAGTGGCTTTTTTAGTCTAAGTTGCTTCTGCCGTAATGGATGCAGTGGAAAAGCGATTGTTTACAGGTACCAGTCCTGATCCCTGTGCAATGTAGCATTAAAATTAATGAAAAGCAGGGAAAGGTTTCTTTAATTTAAACTGCACAAACATACAATGATATTTTTAAGCGGAACCTTCTCTCATACTAAACCAGAGCACTTCAGTTTACAGGAACAACAGGTTCATCTTGATGGATACTAGCACAAAGGACTGTAGGAGCACTGTCTAAAAAACGTGTTTGGATGCTCTTACCAAATTATAGGCCATGGCTACCTTACACAGAAACAGTTACACAGATTTCTGTATGTAAACCTATTGGCTGAAATGATACAGTATGCTGTTGGGGTGGGGTGGGGAAGTTGTCCACACTTCTGAGGAGTGTAATGTGAAAACATCAAATGTTATGTAACTTTTCTTAAGGCCACTGAGAGGTGAGGGTACAGCTTAGGATTTTCCACTAATGGTTTACATCTTAGGACTTGCCTTAAGTTCAGAGCACTGCAGTTCAATGTGTTAAACTTATGAGGGACTCTAGATTCATAGATGATACACAACTTTGAAGCATCTTCAAGCATGGATGGAATTTTTTTTTTCTTGGATTGCATTTCATGTTCTGGAGAGGAATCTTTGTTATAGCTGTTTTATGTTTATTGCTTAACCTTTCATTCTAGCTTTGCCTGTCATTTATAATATTAATCAAAAGGTGTTAGCAATGTGTCCCGAACGACACAAAAATGTTGAATTTTCCAACAATACAATTGACATGCAGTAAAACATGTCTATTTTTGCACTGGCCACTATGTATATTTAATTTCCTTTTTAAAATATTGCAATTTTTTTTAAAAGAAAAGAGTAAACTTTTCAGTGTTGATAGTAATGATTTCATGGTTGCACTGCATAAATAGAGAAAGCAGATGCCTTAGTTAATACTTCAAAGGGAGGGTATTTATTCTACATACTGTGAACTGCATTGACATCCTGAGTTTGAGATGCAGCAAAGTGCTGTGTGTTCTTCATGGCATTGTAACAAAGATGGCTTCAAGGAGTTAATATAGCACACGTAACATTTTAGCAAATTAATTTAGCACAGTGGACAAAAGTTGCTGTTGGTGATCTGTTCTGAAATATACATCTAAAAGCTGTCATTCTAATAAGTACACAGTCAATAATGGGGTAGCCTTGGCCCTGTGTTGTATTCTGACGCTTTTAGCCAAATTGTCAGCTTCTTGTTGCTGTGATTTGTGCTGAACTCTCTATCTTTGTTCATTTTTGTTTTTGAATCGACTCATCACAGATAATTTTGTAAAATAACTGGCCATATTCTTTTTGTGTTATACATTCAAGTTTATGGGTTTACAGTGGCTGGTCTGTATAAAAATCATTACACCATGTCTGAATGCTTATACCAGTTGCACTTAAATGACAACACCCCTTCTCATTAGCTGATGCAGTACTACGTTCAGTTTATCTATGCATTGCTGGGGTCTTAATGAAGACCGAGAGTCTAGTTTCTCGTCTAAAGTTTTGATTGTCAGCAAGTTGAATGGACACTTTAGTTATTTAATAAAGACTTTTGACCAAAATTCTGAAATGGTATGAAAGAACAATGAATTCCAGCTAGTTTTAATAGATTTTAATTGCTAATCTAATTTAGCCTGTTGGCTAGCTAGCTGGTAATGTTTACTTTTAATTCCTTGTTAAAATGAGGCAATAATTTGCAAGATTATGTAAATATGTACATTCTGCATATCTTTTTAGATATCTATTTCAATATTTTCTGACTACTTCTGTGTATAGTAACATTTTGTGCATGCTTGATGTGACATTCATAAATTTGTACCACTATGACTTTATTCATGTAAAATAGCTATTTATTGAATTTTTCTTTTAAAAGCTGGACTTAACCTGTTTTTCTCTGTGTTAAACATTTTAAATGGAGAACTTGTTACCGTTTATTAAAAGAATTGCGTTTGAGGGAGAGCATGAAGATGGCAGAATTGCAACCATATGAAGAAATCTACATTGCCTTGATTCAGTGTGGGTAAAGCACAATTCTTCTAACAAACTGTGATGACTTCATTGTTCATTGCTGAATATATTATCTCTCCTCTCCTTTTTCATAAAAACAAACCAAAAATCCATCATGGGCAATTGCAGTTTGGTAGATGTATCACTTAACTACAGGGATTCTGAAAAGGATAGCTGATTCACATAGAAGTGTAACTGGTGCTGTGATTAGAGCAATACTTTTACTTTTGTTAAGTCATTTCATCTTCTCATCGTTAGCTTTTTAAATGCTTATTTTTCCCTCTTGTTATGGTCAAATGGCTGACTTTACTTGAAGGCTGTACAATACTGTCTGAAGTATACTAAATTGTGTACGATTGGGTTGATATGTGCAGTTTCCTTATAAAACCAAGTCAAAACCATATGTTAATTTCAGATCCAATAGTGTATTAGAAATACAGTTTAATTTTAACCAAAGTCTTTAGTGGGTATTTCAAGTTTGAATGTAAACTAGTGGATAAACTGACCAATAGAAGACTGTTTGCCCAGTGTTAAAAGCACATTGTCTATAAATGAGAAACTGAATTTACATAGTATCATGGTTATGATTTTTCCATGTGAGCGGGAAAACTTCTCAGTAGTTTTTTTTTGCTAACAGTTAAGGTCTGCAGTCCTTCCTGAAGCAACCAGTAATTCCAGTCATTCCTAGATTCAGTTTGGAATCCCCTGTGCATAGCAAAATAAATTTAGTGACAATCGCAACCAGTTTTAGTATTGGATGCCCAAGAGGAAGTTGCTATTGTTGCATTGGTTTTAATATTTGTACATAAACACTGATTTTTTTGAACATTATTTTGTATTTGTTGTACTTTAATACCTGGTGTACAGTTCCAGAAATAAATGTCTGGAAACCCTTTTTCTTTTGTGACAGTTTTCATGCCTCTGCAACATTTGTCACTTTAGTATATTTGAACACACAGGGTTATTTTAAAAGGAGTTTTCAGATGTTCAGATTCTAATCCATAAAGAACCAGATTTATATTTTCAGACAAGAACAAGACTACATTCTGATTGCATAGAGGGGTTTCTCTTCCACTAATTCTAAAATTTGGGGCCATCCGATGAATCTGAATGTTGGAAGATTCAGGATGGATAGAATAAAGTGCACAGCACCTAGTTACACTATGAAATTAGTTTTTGTAAAATGCAGCAATGGCTCCCAACATGACTGGCTTTAAAAAAATCATACAAGTTCATGGAGGAGAAGGCCATCAATGTCTATGTTCCATTAGAGGCAGTATGCATCTGTATAAAAGTTTTTGGGAATCCCAAGCGTGGAAAGTACAAAGTATGGGTGCCAATCCACTTGGAAATTCTCTAGTGCAGGCCCTGCTCAACTGCATAACTTGTTCATGTCAACTAGTACTTATGCAGGAACGTCTTCCCATGTCTGGGCGGATCAAGAGTTGCAGGGAGTGCAATTCCACCAAACGGATGTCTGTAGGTAGAAACAAAATAGTTGATCAGCAGTGACACAGTGCTGAGAGGGCAGGTTCAAAGAGGTTTATTGTAACAACTTCTCAGTGGATTGATGACTTCAGGGAGCTACTTGTGAAGTCCACTTTCAGGAAGTCGTTTGAATCCACAGGGGTTCTCGAAAGTAGAATGTTCTTGTTCTCCAGACACCCTTTTGAAGGCACACTCCCAGCGCCAATCATCTGACTGCCCATCTTCAAAGGAAGGGTGTAATTGCCGTTAAGCTGGCCAGCCTGTACATTGATCCCATTCGAACCCTGAAACTCATCAGTCACCTGAAATCACTATAATGTCAGGTGGCTAACAGGTAGGTCAGGGGTCAACAACCTTTTTCAGCCGAGGGCCGGTCCACTGTCCCTCAGACCATACGGTGGACCGGACTATATTTGGGGGGGTGGGGGGAATGAACAAATTCCTATGCCCCACAAATAACCCAGAGATGCATTTAAATAAAAGGACACATTGTACTCCTGTAAAAACACACTGATTCCCAGACCGTCCGTGGGCCGGATTTAGAAGGCAATTGGGCTGCATCCGGCCCCCGGGCCTTAGGTTGCCTACCCCTGAGGTAGGTGGTGCCTTTTACATGTCAAAGTGGGCCCACAGTGGGGTGGGGTAATTAAAAATCCGACCTATAGGTCAGATCCAGTTCCCCACCACTGATTTAAAGCAATCAAACTTACAAAGCATACTATGTTTATTAATATAAATTCAGTAAGGTACCTAAAAAGGAACACGAGCAAATCCTAAGATACAATAGTAAGAAAATGTATAGGTTGAAGAACACTGATGGTTGCAGGCACTGTTTTAACACTGCATAAACCACTAATTTTGCACTAATTTTTCTTTTCTTAAAAGGTTCAGCCAAAAGGATGCACCAAACCCCTCACTGCCACCAAGTATGCATTCAGTAAAAAATACCTCAGGAGTCCAAAACTGGTCAATCTGTGGCTCCTCAGGCTCAGTTGATAATTGTGTAATAGTTTGAGAAAAGCTCTTCTCCTGGTCCAATGTCTTGGAGAGCAATCAGAACGACACATCTCAGGGGCCTGCAGATTGCATAGTGGAGGAATTTCAGATACTATTATGAACATGCACTTACACATGCATAACGCACACCAGTTTTTCTTTCTTTAGGTTCCAATAAGTGAAGGTTTAAATATGTGACCTATTTGACAATAATGAGCTAGTCAAATTATCAAACTTAATCCAATCTATGAGATTGTAACAAGTATTTGATTAAACTTCTCACCTCCGTATCTCATGACAGTAGTTTATGTTTGGAAGATACTGTTTAAATTCTATAGGAAAATTTTCAGGTACGTCAAATTCCTGATAGCATACATTGGCTGCTTTATCTGATGGAAAAATAGGAGAGGAAAAATATTCAAAAAGATGAGATGCACTAATATTGGTGCAACTCTCAGTTGATGTATCTTTTGGATTTATTTACATAAGTCGTCACTCACATTATTTGTTTATCATAACAGAAATCGTGTTCAGATGCTCTAAAACCGTTTATGTGGAGCATCCTCATTGATGTAGCCATGTGAATGAAGTAAATCCGACCTGACAATAAATATTATATGGAGATGTACCACTTCCCTCTATGTAAAAGATGGGTCCCAGCATTGACCCAAACTGCAGATTGGAAGCAACACTGGTAGCTTGGTAGCAGTGAGCCAGAAGTTAAGCTCCCATAAAGTATCCTTGGAGAACTCAACATGATGGTCTTTAAGGTGCCCAAATCTAGTCTAGGGAAAAGTCTGTTTCCTACTTACCAGGTGAGCAATTGTTAACATATTGCCCCACTGCCAGTGGATTCTGCAGACCAGTTGTAAGCCAAAAGACATCACTCATTTTCAAAGGACCAATCTGATCTCTCTTGCTGCATGACCTGAAAAAACTTACAGCGTTAACTACAAACCCCATTTTGACAGCATCTTGAGCAATCATATCTTTTCAAAGCAAACACGTGTACATACACACCCCACAAATTAAATTCATTTGCTATGCTACTCATTACCCACATCCTATTCAGCACCCGTAAGTAGCAAATACAATTTGATCCTCTACAGAACTTGAGACATAGCAAATCAAACGCTGCCCATTCTGCCCACACAGCACATACGTTCCATTTCAGATTAAGGAATGGTTGTCAAGCATCTGCCAGACTTTCATACATAGCTGACGGGCTGCATTGAACTTGGTGGGTCTTGCACATCCGAGCTATGTGTCTTCATTTTTGGTAACGAAGAAGGTTTTCGCTCAAGTCTAAGGAAGGGCTGTGATGGCAAGGATGTTATTTTGCAGCAGATATTTGCAGATGCAAAGAATACCTGCCAGACATTTAATATTTAAATCATACTCTTAACAACCAAGAACTTGTGCTTATCCAGACAACCATTCCATTTGGTTGCAGCAGAGACTGAAATGGGGCAGCAAGGCCCACTCTTATCAGTTCTGCTGAGAAACTAGCATCATTTGACTCCTTTTCTCCCTTGACTGTAAATTAAGAGTTTATGTCTGATTTTGCTTGTTTTCCTCCTCCCTCCTTACCCCCTTTTCCTTTTGTGTCTTGTCTTTTAAACTGCAAGCTTGAGGGCAGGACTATCTTGTTTGTTATTGATCTTTTTCAAACCACTCTAGGTGCCTTTCCAGGGTAAACATGCTATAAATATATAGTACTGTGTGAATTTGTGGCACAAGCATCACACCTATATTACCTGTGTAAATCTGTGGAGTCCTTTCCAAAGCAAAAAAATTACCATAGATGAGACCAGCACATCAACAATTGACACACTATAGTGTTAGTGAGTATGCAGAGAAGGAAGTGATTCTCACATCTGCAAGCACTGGATATAAATCAACATCAGCCATAAAAAGCAGTGCACAACCCACTACTTTGCCATTAGTTTGTTGTAGTTCAAATTTGTGCAGACATGAGCTTCTGCTTTTCTGTTAGCTTCCAAATTGTAAGTAAATATTGAGTCACGGAACAGTGGAATATTCTACAGTAAAAGTAGTACAGGTTTTGTCAAATATGGTTTTATGGACCCATCTTATTGGCAGATGTTCTCCCACCTTCAATGTTAACTTCTTTCAAGTGTTTAAAAAAGTCACAGGGAAATAAGACAACCACTTGTACATACCCAATATCAAAGCTGTGCAACTGCAAAAAAAGGTTATGTTCTACGGCCAGAAAATAAACTCACCCCCAAATCTGTGGCTAACATTATATTCCATATAAAATCCTGAAACAGACAACTTCCAAGTTCTTTGGTTTTACTTAAAACACTTTTAGAAAAGTACAAGAAGTGAAACCTTGGGGCTGATATTTTTCTATTAAGGACCTACCTGTATATAACTTTTGATATTCCCTTGTCATTCCCATCAATAAGCACCCCATCTATGCATCTAAATATAAACGGATTGCCAATGGACTGGAAAAATATGGGCTCATACTTTTCATAGACTGTCCCTGTGTGAGACAAAAGTGGCTATTTTAGATTCCAGCTAATCACAATCAACAAGATGGGCAGTCTCAAGCAATGCACAGAGTGGATCTAACTATTTTCTCACATACAAAAGACTTCAAATCACAAAACTCCTTCAGCCTGATGTAAAGATCAAGCTTTCTGGGAAATACGACAGTGGGTGGGTATAGAATCAGTACCATTAAAAAAAAGAAGACGACACTTCAGTATCTTGGATGGCAAAAAATTGCTTTCTCCCCCAACATGAACCAAATGTACGGTACTTCTCTTTGCATCGGCTGGCCTGGGCTTAGATCTCTGCAAGACCCTTCCTGTGGTCCCAACAACAGGTGTGGTCCATTGTGGCAGTTGACATTGGCTAGGACTCTGTGTGCAGGGATTTCACCTGCGGAGCTTCTTATCTCTGGATGCATGGATCTCTCTTTTCTCGTAAGTTTAAAACATTCCCCCCCCACCCCATTTCATTCTTTCAGGCATTTTGGAAAGGAATGCACTGGTATAGTGGAATATTAATGGGGTTTTTTAATTTCCTTATGCTGTGGGTTAGGGTTTTGTGTTTGATTTGTTTATTTTGAACCTTCCTGGGATCCAGCAGGATGAAGAGTGGTCGAAAACCATAGGAAATACATTTATGGTTAAATAGCAATTTGAAACCAGATTCATACAGTCCAAGTTTAAGAGTAACTACTACATTGCTCTCTCTCTCTCTTTCTCTTACACCTGAAGGAGCGTCTCCACCCTCATCGTTCTGCCCAGACACTGAGGTCCAGCTCCGAGGGCCTTCTGGTGGTTCCCTCACTGCAAGATGTGAGGTTACAGGAAACCAGGCAGAGGGCCTTCTTGGTAGTGGTGCCCACCCTGTGGAACGCCCTCCCATCAGATGTCAAGGAAATAAACAACTATCTGACTTTTAGAAGACACTGGAAGGCAGCCCTGTTTAGAGAAGTTTTTAATAACTGGTGTTTTAATGTACTTTTAATCATTGTTGGAAGCTGCCCAGAGTGGCTGGGGAAACCCGGCCAGATGGACGGGGTATAAATAATAAACAATAATAATTATTATTTTTACTACTACTACTACTACTACAGTGGTACCTTGGTACCTTGGGTTAAGTACTTAATTCGTTCCTGAGATCCGTTCTTAACCTGAAATTGTTCTTAACCTGAAGCACCACTTTAGCTAATGGGGCCTCCTGCTGCCGCTGCGCACGATTTCTGTTCTCATCCTGAAGCAAAGTTCTTAACCCAAGGTGCTATTTCTGGGTTGGTGGAGTCTGTAACCTGAAGCGTATGTAACCCGAGGTACCACTGTATTATTATTACTATAAATACTAATTTTAGGGCATGATATCTGGGGGCAAATGAGTCTTTTCTGACAGGCCTCTTGAGCTTTAAATGGGTTCAGAAGAGCAGAACAAAAAGTGTAACTTTTTCTAGCATGGAGGTGCTTGAATGTCCCTTGCTGAATGTCATCCTGGCATGCAGCTATAAATGACAGAGCGGCCCGTAGCTGTCAACGTTTCCCTTTTTTAAAGGGAAATTCCCTTATTCCAAATAGGATTCCTCGCCAGCATGCCTTGTCATAAATAAGGTGACAACTTTACACAGACTGAAACTAAACTGCTATAAACAGGCACTAGGGGGCATTAAAGAGGAACAAGGCTCCTGTACCTTTGATAGTTGTGTAAAAGAGGGAATTTCAACTGTCCTCTTTTCCATCTGACCAACCCAACAGTTCTGAATAAAAGTTTCAAAGCTTTCTGGCTCGGGTTTGCCAGGTTGCCTCATGGTTTAAATGGTTTCTTCTCAATCACAGAACATAGAAATCCTCTTCTATTTCAGAACAGCACTGCCCTAAGGATTCATAGTGATCACAGCTCAGTGGCAGAATGCATGCTGCATGCAAAAGCTCCTAGATTCAATCCGTGAGAGCCCTCTGCCGAGACCCTGGAGGGTTGCAGTCAGTCAGTGGCTGCATTGCCATGTAACGCTCATCCATAAGTATGGTCTGTTAAACCATTATGCGAAGAAAGCTGGCTTCAGTTGTGGTTTGTCTGAACTATCTATCACTAAGCCAGCCACTCCACGTTTTGCTTCCTCAATGAAGGAAAGGAGGCACGAACTAGGAGTATTTAGCCAGCATGCAGCTCGTGCAGGATGTTTCAACAAACAATACTTTTATGGTTCAGCGCGACATGAAAACACAGTCAATTATGATAACACTAATTAAGACGGGCTAATGGTCTGACTCAGCAAAAAATGACATAATGTGTTTATGTATTTGTAAATACATTCTTTCCATACCAGGATACATAGATACAACTGCTCCTTTGGGAACAAAACCTTTCGTTACAAAGACTCCTGTTCCAGCAGAAATAAGTGAGCTGTGCCTTCGAGTAATGCTGAATCCTAAAGTGTGAAGGAGAACGTCTTCTGGATTGAAGATGATTTGATTCTGACGGCTGTCATCAATTGTTTGGTTTGTCTCAGGCTGAGCTTTCTGCAGGTCCAGGTATTTGGATTTAACTTTTGGAAGAAAGCTAAGAAGAAATGTTTGTCTCCTCAAGTCGTTTACAAATAAAGCTGTGAAAGTTTTCAGGAGTGTTTGAAGTACATCTTCATCAGAAACCATTTTGTCTTTAGAGCCTTCTGGTACAAACCGCAGAGTTCTGCAACAGTCCAATAAACAACAGAACTGAGACATTTTGGAATGTTGTAAATGAGAGTTTGGAAACTGTAGCAAACACTACTTGCTTTTCAAACTGTTTCAAACCACTTACAGTTCTGTTAAAAACCATGGCCATCTTTTATATTTAAAAGTCGTGCATATTTTTGATTAAATGTGCTAAACATGAAGATTGCTCTATATTTCTAGATTGGCTGTACATACACTGATTTCTCTGTGTCCCAAGAGGCTGATTGGCTGGCATGGCTCACTGTTCCTGGTTGCCTTGGAAGTAGTTTAAGGAAGTAGCAGTAGAGAACCAGTCCTACTGACAGCACAATTGAAATGGAAAAGGAAAGGAAGCGCTAACTGTCTAGCTAATTCTTATGTATAAGACTCTACTGAGGAATGGACAATGGAGATGATAAAGTACAGGTGTTTTTCCACACTACATGAAACTGATTCTTCTAATGAGAAGAATCTGTAGGTTCTTTTTCTTTTAAGCAAAAGGTGAAATCTCTCCTAAATTAAGACAACTGAAATAACAGAATAATAAATGTTCCTTGCATGAATACAAGGCTGTGATTCATTAGAAGAGCTGCACTGAGATCATTAAACCACAAGTATTCAGCTTGCGATTTTATTAGTTCCACCAGAGAGCCAAGAATCAATTTAATCCTTTATTCATTCCATGCATCTGCTTATTATTACAGAAATTAGAGAGGGGGAAAAGACCAATTACACCTAATCCACACTGTACCCAAAGAAAAATAGCTCCCTATATGATATATTCACAAATATTTCACTTCTAGTTTTAATTGCTTATTTCCCTTGAGAAACTAGTTCATAGCCTCTTTGAATGGGATGTCTTCATCCATCATATATATGGGGTCTTGAGGGGCACAACAAAATTCCTATTGGGTAAATTGTCTGGGGGGTTTTTTGGAAGAAAGTTTAAACGAGAACATTTAGCTCTGGTGGTGGAGTAAGAGAAAAACATTGAAAAATGAAGTTTTATACAAAACGCAGTTAATCCAGCTATTTAATTATCAGCCCATCAGATTATATTATTTAAAATATAGTAAAGCTGTTGTTTCAACTGCTCACAAAGCATGACTGAAACCTTCCATCTGCAAACGTCAGCAGAATTTTTTGCTATGTTTTGGCTCCCTGTTTCTTCTTCTGCATTATACAACACTGCAGAATGAAATTACCGTATTTTTCTGTGTATAAGAATAGGTTTCTCCCCTTAAAAATAATGTCCAAAATTTGGGGGTGTCTTATACACAGATAGATCTCCCCCCATTTTCTTAAATCGGAGTCCCCCCAAATAGGGGTGTCTTATACATGGGGTTGTCTTATAGACAGAAAAATATGTTATGTCACAGAAATGCTCGTTTTAAGGTTGCCAAATGACCAGAAATTCCGCCTGGTCTGCTGTCCAGCCCTTAACTTCTGCAGACATTCACAAGTGAAGCTTTTCATGGTACAGAGATAATAATCATTGCTTCACTAACATCTGCATATCAAACTGCAGCACATAAGGTAGAAGGTGCTGAAAGCAACATATGCAAGATTACCCACAGAACGCAAGAGACCTCAGCACTACCCAATCCAAACAGCAGTCAGCATGGAACTTCTATGCCAAACTCTTGCTTCTATAACTGCTGCTAAACTGACGTGGTTCTAGTGGCTTTCAAGGTGTTGACCATGATAATATGCTCCAACTGGACTGATTTACCAAGGGACAGTCTCTTTTATCCCATAATAAATGTCTCTGGCAAGGGACGTGGGTGGCGCTGTGGGTTAAACCACAGAGCCTAGGACTTGCCAATCAGAAGGTCGGTGGTTCAAATCCCCGTGATGGGGTGAGCGCCTGTTGCTCGGTCCCTGCTCCTGGCCACCTAGCAGTTTGAAAGCACGTCAAAGTGCAAGTAGATAAATAGGTATTGCTCCGGCAGGAAGGTAAACGGCATTTCTGTGTGCTGCTCTGGTTCTCCAGAAGCGGCTTAGTCATGCTGGCCACATGACCCGGAAGCTGTACGCCGGCTCCCTCGGCTAGTAAAGCGAGATGAGCGCCGCAACCCCAGAGTCGGCCATGACTGGACCTGATGGTCAGGGGTCCCTTTACCTTTAAAGGTCTCTGGTAAAGCAGTTACTACATATAGACTTTGAAGGATGCCTTTTTTAAAAAAAATTATGTGTACATATGTCCAATCGCGATCATTTTTTAACTATTCTGTAGAAGTCAAACCTCTGAACAGTCAGGACGCATCTTAACCCTAGCACACATGAACATGAAGGCTAATACAAAATGTCAACACACTGCTTCACTTGCACCAACACCACACCACCCAACAGGAAATGCTGTGGAAGGCATTTGCAGGCATCCTTGGGCAGCCCCCACTGCTGATGCCTGCCCTCATGCCTCATGGGAAGCGATTCACTATGGAAAGTATGACTATTATTACTTCTACTACTAGTAGTAGTACTCCAAGCAACATTAGGTGCCTAGGTCAAGCCACCATTATAACTGAACCACAAACCCTCCAAACGTAGTCCCATCCTGGGAAATTTAGACGCCCATTTGACCAAGCTGCCTAGCGCCGGTGCAAACCCCAGAAGAACAATCCCACATAGCCTAAAGGAGCTGCTTGCGGGTCAATGGGGAAGAGTGACCGCTTCTTAGGGCAGCTCAGAGGATGGGTCAGCTACGCGGATTTCCGCAGGCATGCCAGCAGCAGTCCCCACAGTGGCCATTGTCGCCAGGGATCCGCGTTGCTTTGGCCCCGGCTGCGGAAGAACCCTGCACGCGCGCCCTCGCATCCTCACGTGCAAGAGTTCGCCCCCAGTTCGCCAACGCGAACGCCGCCCTTGTACTCCACGTGCAAAAAGGCTGGTTTCGCGGCAACACCGCCGAACTTCTGGCTTTACTTTTACTTTTTTGCCATAAGTGGCAGAGAGACCTCTCGGTCGCCTCCTTCTCCCGCTCCGCCCTGAATGGAGACCCGGCGGGACGGAGGGCGAGAGAGGAAGAGCCCCGCCGCCGCCGCCGCCTTCACCTGCGCTTGTGGCCGAGGTTGAGCGCGATCCAGGGCACGAAGCGGTACTTGTAGGCCTGCCAGCGCCTCCGCAGAGCCCTCAGCATGGCGGCGGGGGTCCCTTTCCCCGGGGAAGAGCCGGGCTCGGGTTCTTGCTTGGTCGCAGGAAGGGCGGCGGAAAGGCGAGGGAGGGCGCCTGCTGCCTGGCCGCCGCCGCCGCCGCTCCTCCTCCCCGAGGTCAAGCGGCGCAGCTCCCTCCAATCGTCGTCGGCAGGCGACAGTATACGGTAACTCCAAGGAGCCTGCCTTCACACGCGTGTCTCCTGACCCGCCTCGCAACGCGTCTGCGAGCTGATTATAACCCCACCGGACTCTCTGGCGTGCGCTTGCTTTGTTTATTTCCTGCAACGGATGGGCGTCAGGAGGAGTTTGCCTGTAATAGCTGCGCAAGCAGCCGCCGAAAACCTTATCAAGCGCGGATATGGAAGCAGCAGCAGCAGCAGCAGCAACCAACCAACCAACCAACCAACCAACCAACCAACCAACCAACCAACCAACCAACCATTCAGACGACACTCATTGAAGAGAGTTTTGAATCCGCGGAGAGAAACCTGTCGGTGGAACCAAATGTACCCTGGGCGCAGTTTCGCAGGGGGACGTTTTAGGGAGACGGAGTTTACTTCCGCTTTAGGCGCTCAATCAGCCTCCTAATGCGCCTTATTCCATTAGCTTCCAAGGTGGGGATTTCTGGACAGTTCACTCCCCCTTTCCTATTGGTCGCAGATTGGGGCAGCACCCTTGGGAGAGTAAGACCCACTGGACTTGTTATTCTCAAGCAAATGTGCCCATGGCTCGGACTGCACCTTGAAACCAGCGCAGTGGGGTTTTGGGGAAGTTTTAAAAGCCACGTGGGAACAGCATGTATACACCACATAGCTGTCAACGGTCCCTGCTCCTGCCAACCTAGCAGTTTGAAAGCACGTCCAAGTGCAAGTAGATAAATAGGTACCACTCCGGCGGGAAGGTAAATGGCGTTTCCGTGCGCTGCTCTGGTTCGCCAGAAGCGGCTTTGTCATGCTGGCCACATGACCTGGAAGCTGTACGCTGGCTCCCTTGGCCAATAAAGCAAGATAAGCGGCACAACCCCAGAGTCGGCCATGACTGGACCTAATGGTCAGGGGTGCCTTTACCTTACCCTTATTCCAGTGCTGCTTCCTGCTGCTATCCCGGATTGTTAGATACACCATGGACTGTCTGCAGGACAGGTGAGGCTGCTGATCCCTTATTTTCAAATCTGAAAGTTGACAGCTGTGATACACCACGGACAGGGGAACTTGTGCCCAGCTGGCAGGATCTCCCAGGTCCTGATCCAGCTCACCAACCCCTGTACCACTCCCCCTTATGTGGCTGCTGAAAGATGGGCAGTGATGTGACATCGCAGGTGGGGTGTAACCTTGTTATATTTTAATTGATATCTAAGGAGCTTCAGATGCCATTAACCATGGGGTCCTCCTCAGCCTACTGAGATGGGTATTGGGGACGCAGTTTTACAGTGGTTCTGGCCCTAACTCCACGTTTGGTTTCAGTTTTCTTTTTCAGCCTGCTGCCAGTTGTCCCTGGTGTGTGTGCACATGCTGGAAAGTACTCTTGTCATCCACAAGAAGCCTTTCAGAGCAGTCATTAGATTTGGGGGAAGCGGTCAGTATTCTGGCAATACCCAGCTCTTTTTCTGTAACATCTGAATGAGGAGAGGCTGTGCAGCCCTGATGATGGGCTGGATTTGGACCAAAAAACCGGAGTCCAAATTATGGCAAGGGGGAAGTGCTGTGAGTGAGCAATCCCAAAGTCTAGATTATTCCTGCTTTGGACAGGATCATACTCCTCCTAAAGGTCTGTAGGCTAATAAGACAGCTGTGTGTTTCTGGACCAGGATGGCTTGGCCACTGTTCTCCATGTGCTGGTAACTGCTAGAATGGATTACTGCAATGCCCTCTGTGAGGTTGACCTAGCAGCTGTAGCTAGTGCAAACTGCAGTTGTTTCAACAGCTCCCTGGGGCAGAATACCACCATATCATGCTAATGTTGAAAGAATTAACACTGGCTGCCAATTAGGTACCAGTTCTAAGTGTTTGTACTGGTTTACAAAGCCCTATACAGATTGGGACCAGGACACCTAAAATAATCTCATACCTTATATACCCATCCAATCACTGCACTCTGCAGGATAGGACCTGCAGACACCATCTCACTAAGAGGTCCATTCTATACCTTGTACAAATCAGGTTTTTATTGTAGCAGCACCTACCATTTGAAATCCTCTCTTTGCTTATCAGGTGAACACTGTTGTTGATGCTTGTTGGGCCATCTTTTTTCAACAAGCCTTTTCAATGGATTGATTAATCTTGTTTTTTAAGTACTCATTACAAGAAAAACTTTGTTCCAATACACACAATGATGTATTATGTATAAATGGTGTTATATTTCATATGATGGGAGTGCCCATCAGGTTTTGCCACATCACCCTCCATGAATTCAAAAGAACACTCTGCAGTCCTCAGTGCACTATTCATGATCCTATGTGCTGGGTATTCCCTAGGCAGGTATATCTAAGGAATCCACTACTGTGTGTTGAGTGGCAAAAAGAGATAGCATGCCACTCAGTCTAGTGGAGGATCTAGCTCTCAACTGGTTTATGTTCTCCTCTGAAGTCTGCCTAGTGAGTCTTTTAAAAGCATTTTAAATAGATTGTTAAGCAGCTGTAAGTAATGTTCCAGTAGTTCTATTGTATAACAATTCACCAGATCCCAATTCTGTGTCCCAGAATGTTTAATCTGGTAGCATAACAATGACTGTGGGTACAAATAGCTGTTGTGGAACCCTAATTCAATGAACAAGAGATATTATAAAAATTATGCTTAGTAAATTGTGCCCTTAAGGTTTACACAGACAATGAGTATAATGAAGGAGAATCAGAACTGAGCAAGATAGCTCCCTTGAGCTTGCCTATTGTGAAGTGTTCATGCTGCCAAGAAATAGAGTAGAAAGGGATTAAAAGACTTATTTACAGGCATTTTTCAAACTATATAAACAGCTGCAAAAAGCTGGCTCTAAAACCTTGTGTTTGATTGCTGACTATATTGTAAGGAAAATACATGTGTACATGAATGCCAATGTATTTGTTAAACCATAAAGGAGGGCAGCTTTTGTCCAAAATCTTTTATTTACTATAAAGACAAAACCACCAAAATAGGTACAAATTATACTATAAAATTGGTTCAAAGGGGTAAAAACTTTAATTAAAATATCTTGATATATTTAAAATAACAAAGGATATAATGAAGCCAAATTTTCTTAACCTAGAGATCTTTAAAATTTACTTGTACAGTAAGGTGCTAATAGAAGTTAGCCCTTAAGCCCTGGAAGTCTTAGGAAATCAGTCACATAGCAAATATAATTTCAATGTGAAAGTGAACTTTGGTAGAAGAAAATCTATAGGACACCTGAGGTAGTAGAAACTGGAATAAACAGCAGTAGACGTTATTTACAACTTAGGTACCAAATAACATTAAGAACACAAAAATAATTACACAATACAATTTTCAGTCCAGCTTTGATCCAAATAAAATAAGATTACATCACATCTGCATTAAAAAAAACCCACAATTATCAGCAAGCTGAGGGAAATGCAAACAAACTCAGACAATGCTTTTAGACACCTAGAGGCAGCCTGAATTTGATATGTGGTAGACATGGTGATCTAGAAAGGTAATACTGATTAGCTGAGGTTCATCAGTTTATACAATTGACGATTTTGTCAGAAACTGCATCAATCTGACAACTGATCTTCCAGTACATGAATTGGCAAGAGCGCATCCTTTAAAGCTTGCACAGAAGAGACTTGGAAACAATCTGATCAGAGTAAATTCTAAACTGTCAAGAAACAGAAGTCAAATACAAATACAGAGCTACCAAACTTCACATTTCGATTTTTTTAACTCTTCAAAGCCTGTCAATCTTCAAAAAGCAAAGGAAGGTAATGTTTTAAGAAAAATGCACATCCACATTTAATGACATTGCTTTTATTTAACGCTAGCATGATCACTGCTGTAAACCTCACTTGTTTTGTTTCCAATCAGCGAGTCGTACATTGTCAATAATGTACAGTACTATAGCTTATTTAGTTTGTCCTGAGTCTTTGAGCATAACCAATTTCTGGTCAATAATTCAACTGGCTTCTGAAGAGTTAAAACTTGAACAGTTATTAAGACAAACTGATTATAAACACAACCAGTATTTTATTTCAAAAAGACTGACCAAAAGCAAAAGAATAGCTGCCATTTTCCTTCAGTAATCCATTCATCAAAATCTAAAAGCCTGCCCTTAAAAACCATCATGAAACAATTAAAAATCTTTGCTAAAAAGTAGTTTTGCACTCTTGTTGAAGAATTTTCTCACATTATACTTGTGGGTTATATTTTTCAAGTCCAAGCACATTATTTTTTTCTGAAAAACTCTTATTTTTTTAAAAAAAAGAGCTTAAGTGATTTTCTTTTCCTTTTTAAAATATTGCCAAATTACATACTTATCAATTGCAACTGTAAACAGATGATGCATGGTAGAAGGAAAACAGCAGGCAAATCCAACAATGGTGGACATGAACACAGTGGTAAATTGAGAGTAAGACTGGATTTTAATATTTGGCTCCCATCAAAGGTTGACTTAGAATGGAAGCTGGGTAGTGGCAGGCTTGACATAAAACTTTTCTACACAGCTTTACCATGAGAATTATTACATGAAAGAAAGGCTCCAAAACAGTTCATTTGAACCTTGGTTACAAATTCTGTTATCGAAAGTAATTGTGCATTTCCCCCTCCCAATGCTTCCCACTTAAAATACTGACTCAATGGCAGTATTTTATTCCAGATTTCAAACCAATCTGTATCACAGTCTTTTATAACAGGTTATCCAGCAATATTTAGCTTGAACCAAGTTCTAGCTACTATGGGCGTGTTTTTAAAAAACCACTTATTCCCTGAAGGATAAAATGAAAGCACAGAACTGTAACTTCCAATGGGAAGTTACAAGGCTAGCAGTAAATGCACATTGAACCCAAATTGCCGTGGTCACTGACTTTTAGGAAGGCAAAATGTGGATTCAAAACTATCAACTGTTTTTTTCCTCCACTTAGAGAACATGGAAAATATAATGCACAGACACTGTACCTTCTTAATGATGAGTAACGAAAACAACCTAAATTGGGTTGTAGAGCCCATAACTGCTGATGTTTGCATGGTGTGAAATGGAAATGGGATTGCAGTTTTTAAATGGCTCCTGAGCCCCTCAGCTGCTAGTATTGCTGAAAAAGTGCTCCAAAATAATAAAAAAATTAAAAACCACTTCTTCCACTAAATAATCATGCAGATTTAAAAGAGGAATTGCTTTTTTGTTCACGAAGAGCCAGATCTTTGAGAAAGGCACAGTTTACATATTTCTGCAGTCTGTGAAATGTTGCATACTGAGCTTAGGTAAAGATCTCGATTTGTCAGTCACATACTTAAGTACAGGTCCTCTACTGACCTCAAGTCCTCAAAAATGTATAGTTAAGGCCAGCAGAACAGTTAATACATACTGCCA